GCTGGATAACAATGTAACTCTAGAGTAGAAGCGAATTAATTCATATCTTTAGTACGGCTGACAACCCTGATTCAGCTCAGTGCCTCGTTTCCTTGGCCTCCTTGCAGCCTCCTTGCCTCCTTGCAATTATCTCATCAATGTATGTGCATATGTGTGGTACATACGATGCGATATCAATGGAGGCATGCCACATACGCTGCAACCAATACTGCTCCCTCCTCTCCCCTTAAATTCCCCGTTCCTCCCCATCACCATCGTGGGGAAATGAAATAAATTATTGTATTTGAAAGCTTTTAAAGCGTGGGCCAACGACTAAGACTACGAGTCTGCATTTATTTGAATTTCTTGTCGATATCGAACGGGGGGAGCACGAAAACAAACAGAACTCAACCAATTCAACCGATCCGATAGACAGACAGACAGACAGACAGAGATACAGAGATACAGAGAGACAGGGCTGGGATATTCGACGCCCACTTGCAATATTTATTGTGTTTTGAATTGGGGGCGAATGGCAGGGTCACAGCTATAGGAGGGATACCTGTAAACTAACCTTTGACGCTGCCGCCTTTCCACTTGCGGATGAAAGGACCTGCTCCACGTGCGGGACTCCTGTGTGTTCGGTACTTTGATAATTTATTGTGTTCCGTATACGCTGCGTGGGCTGCTGGCCTAGAGAATTGCAATTGAATCGAATTGTAAAGGCCAAAGCCAAAGTTGGGGGAACATTTTTCATAAATACTGGCCCCTCAACAGCAACAAAACAAAAAAGAGCAAACCTAGTTTTGGGTTGCCAGTTTTTCGATTCATATTGTTTCGGACTTTCGATGGCATTGTAATGTAATTCCTTGTTCGGTAGAGCTATTGTTTTGTGTTACCTGTTGGCAGTTCGCGAGCGTCTCCGTCCCCCCATCCATCCATCCAACCCTTGCCAAACTCATTGAAACTGTTATAAAAATACATTGAATGGCAACAAGTACCTCAAGTACCAGCCGTCTCCAAAGGCCAGAGGATGCTTGATTAAGTGGCTAAAAAAAGGATTTTGGGGCAAAGGCTGAAATTACTGTTAGCATAATGCTATTCATAACTATGCAAATGTATTGTACACAACTCCTCCGCAAAACTCTAAATAATATTATGGACAATAACTTGAAAAGCAATTATCATTAATTGTTATGGCCATTTAAATTTAACGCATCATTAACAACCAGAACAAGAAACGACAACAAAACCAGAACCAGAGGCAGAAATATAAGGCAAGTTAAGCTTTTGGTTCCAACGAAATTATGGTAAATGAGCTTTGGGCCAAAAAGCTTTGGCCCACGAAAGAGAAAGTTAAGAGAGAGAGAGAGAGAGAGAACAGAGCAAATGTTGGTGAAAGTTTGTTGGAGGATTGCTCTTTTATGTTTTGCCTACTTTTGGGCGTCAGTTTTTACGGTACTTGACCCGCAGCCGATGGCCATCCGAGCCTCATGACAAATTTAATTACCAAAACCCGAAAAAAAGCAGCCCAAAAGTAAAAGGAAAACCCCTCAAAGATCATTCAATGACAGACACATAAAGAAGAAGCCACTGGCACTGGCTGACTGCTGGTATTCGATAATCCAAGTTCAATGAGTCGTGCAATATTTATGAAAATTATAAAATTTGTGGCAGGCCGGCCTTTGGGCAATGCGACTCTCTTTTCTTTCACTTTTTGACAAGGTCAAGGCTGAAGCCAAACAGAATGTGGCTTAAATTTTTAACCAGAATTGAGATAGTATTACATTAGTAAATATATCCGCTTTGGAAGAAGATTGAGGTCCATTTCAGAGACATATGTTGCTGAAATTGTTCGGCCATCTCTCCGGCTGGAGCTCTGATACCGGGGGCCAGTTGTGGCTGACAAGTGTCTTGAATAATTTATGACTCGGCCACTTTCAACTGCAGCAGCTGGTGTTCCAGTAGCAGCTCCTCTCCTCTGGTGTTGTCTCCACGAAGTCTGCATTAATTTTAATTTGTTTTGGGACCAGCGTGCCCGCTTGAAAGTTCCTCAAGACATTCAAGAGGGGAGCAATAGTAGTACTGCTATTCCCCATTGGTATAGCCATTTCCAAAACAAGAAAGTGTTAGGAACAATCCCGTGTGCCCCCCTCCAACAATTACGTTCAATTGGAAATTTGTGAGCAGCGTTTACTTTATTTCGCATTGTTATTGTCGGGGGAGGACGGACCAGCAGCAGTTTCCCAATGTTGGAGTTGGGGTTGGATTTTGTTTTTGGGGGTGTGATTTTTTGCAGCAGCAAGGGACCCTTTTTACTTAAAGCAATTGGTTTTCACAGAGAGAAGGAGATATACCAGGAGGGGAGACAAGCAGAGACAGACCCCTAACAAGTGACAATTGAATATGGCAATCAAAATCGCATGAATACGTGGATACTGTTATTGAGAGTCCGTCGTTCCTGGTTAAATGGTCTGTAAATGCTTCACACCTCTTCACTCAAGTATTCTTATCACCGAAGCTGATCGGCTAAACATATATTCTGGATATGGTTACCATACGGAAAGTAATCAGAGCTCAAAACTTAAGCCATCTACTTAGTGGGTGTGGCAGTCGGCAGCCAGCAGCCAGAAGCCCATCAACGAGTTGCCCCTGAAGTGGCAGGTTTAAATGTTGCCATGGGGAGAGCGAACCCGTCTTGTCTTCATTTTCCACTGCTTGTTCCCTGCTTGTCTGTTTTTTTCGTTGAATTTTTGCCAACTTTGTTTTCATTTCATTAGGATAGCAACAATGTAGGGGAAAAGCTGCAGCTAATTGCAATCAAGGTGGAGCTTCAACTTGTTGCTGTGACGCTCTTGAGTTTCAACATCGCTTGTAACGTATCGCGTGGCACATGAGCGCGGGGCTGCCCTTCTTTTTTCTGCTCTTCTGCTTTTCGCTAGGTGCCTGATTGACGGTTTGACTTGCTAAATTAATGGATCATTGAGTGCAGGGTTTCGGTGTCAGCCAAATGAATTGCAATTCTTTGTTAATTATAGCTTAAAGATGAAGCCATTTGTCCCTCCAATGATGAGATACTGATACTTTTAAGAGCTCATTTTGGAAACCTTTTAATTTTAATTAGAGGCAAACACGTTGCTCCAGCATTCCCAATGTTAGCCCCCATAGAAACCCAAAAATAAACCAAACAAGAGCATGGACAAAATCCACTCTTTTTGTGTCGCATGTTTGCATATATATTTTATAGCTTTTGGAGCTGAACAAACAGGAGCAAACAAAATCAACAAGCATGCGAAGCTTCAGAAGCCAAAGGCCCCTTTTATTACCTTTGTCAAATGCACAAATAGCCCCCGAAAAATCCAAAGGCTCTTCCACAGAATACAGAACACAGGACTCCCGACTCCCAACTCCTCTCGCAGGCCAGGCTAAGCAATTTCAATGACAAAACACAACAAACGGCTCAGGCAAATTCACACATTTTGTAGACCAACAACCAAAATGGGAAAAAAATGTAAGTCCACAGCCATGGCCCTGGTCCCCATCCAGCAGCCCCCAAAAAAAAGGGTTGAAGCTCAAATGTAGCGAAGGCAAATATCCAAACATCTAAAGGTACGAGGACGAGTATACAATAAAATATTATATCGTAATAAAAACCCCAACGAGAACCCCGGCACACAGATACACAGAGCTCTTTGTGGCAGGAAGAGAAATGGTTGTCAGGTGTTTTATTTTCGTGAGGCGGCAATAGTCGTAGTGTGGGGCAGATAACACAACGATTGAGCGATACTTTTCGCATAATATGTGCCTCGAGCCCAGCAGCAGAAACCTGCCAGGCATCGCAATATGTATTTAAGATTTATTGGAGATTTATGCTCGCCTTTTCCTCTGGTTAGCAGCTGCTCCTTCTGCTAGCCCTTCCTGCTGATGCTCCTCCTCTATTTTCATTCCTGGCTAACAAGCAATTTGGCATCTCAGCAGGGGGTTGAAATCCACACACAGATATGTAGATATCTATGGAAAATTCCAAATGTGGGCTAAGCTCTTTAGCGCCTGCACCTACACGGGTAGTTAAGGTTGCCAATTAACAATGCGAAAATCATGTTGAATTCAGATTTTAAACGAATGTAGAAATATAAGAATATTAAGAATAAACTTATAGGATTTCCTTACATAAATTCACCTATTCAAGGTTTCTCCGTCATTGAGTTTTCATTGGCATTGTTCTTCAATGTGATTTATTCATCTTAAATATTGCCATTCATCATTTTTGTATGCAGAAATGTTCTCTTAGACAACACGGCACACAATTTCTTTCTAGCTTATTACTAAACCACAAAAACCCACCTCTCATATCATCAACCATATTATCCTCACGCCCCAAGAATTTGTTTGCCATAAATGTGCGCATCACTTTCAATGGAAACCAAAAATGTTGTCACTCCGAGTGTCAGGAGATTATTAATTCCACGTTTCCGGTGCATGTTTTGAGGGTAGAAAGTTTAGTTGCATGTTTTTAATTAAATTTCACTTATTATTATTACTATTTTCGGTCAGCTTTTGCACTCGTCATGGCTGTTTGTTCCATTTGATCCTCTGCCTCCGTTCTCTCATTCTGTTGTTTGTGCTTGCGGGACATAAGTAAATGTGACGTGTTCCGTGCTCTATATATTGTACCCCGAATATGTAGGCACACACTCCTACATGTTGCATTTGTTGTTGTTTCTGGTTCCAAAATAAAACAAGCAAAACAAGTTTTTTAACTAATCCCCACAGTGCCTGCTGAAAAAGAACAAACAACAATGGCAACAGCAGAAAACCCTGAAAAAAGCACACAGCAGAGCAGGGCGGCGGGAAAACCGAAAGCGAAACCAAAACTGAAAACTGAATGAACGGTCGGGGCAACTGTTTGCGAAGAGAGAAAAGGAAAATCTGTGTGGGGGGGAGGGGGCTAGGGGAGGGAAATTTATTTCCGTTTTGTGTTTTTAAAAATTGTTGTTTTATTGAATATGTTTTTTTGGGTTGTTCGTTGTTGAGTTTTCTTAAAAGTGTTTAATTATTAAAATAGAGCATACAAAATAGAATAAAATCCATACAAAATATTTGCCATTTTTCGCACATCATCACACACAAAAAATGCCTCTAGAAAAGGGTTTCTCTCCCACTCTCACTCTCACTGTAACGCTTTCTCCATCAATCCATCAGTCGCCGAAGAGCTTCTTGCCCAAATCCATCATCCTGTGATTGCGACAGACGCGCAGAGCATCCGCCTTCTTGAGCACCTCCTGCACATCGCCATTCACATCCACCAGCTGCGAGAGGAAGTCCTCGTAGGCGGACTTCACATTCGCCGGCAGTGTGCCAATCTTCACCTTCTTCAGCGTCTTCACAATGCCCTCAGCCCAGCCGGACTCCAGAGCGAACTCAGAGAGCCACGGCACCAGCGGCAGGACACCGCACATGGTCTGCATTCCCAGGAACCATAACTCCGAGAGATCCGACCAGTTGCCCTTGTAGGCAATGGACACCACGAGGGCCGTGGGATCGTTGCTCTCGTCGATGTTGTACGCGTCCCAGAGGAAGCGAATGGTGGCCTGGATGTAGCGACAGATTGAGAAATCATTCTGCTTCACCTTCTTTGACTGCTGCTTGAGCAGAAGCAGTCCAAGAACAGCCAGGTTGCCGTGGATAACCAGATTATCGGGAGTATCCTTCAATTCTGGCAAATTCTCGACCACAAACTTCAACAGATTGACAAAGGTGGCACCATCCTCGGCACGCTTTGGCTCCAGCACTGTAAAGTTCATCAGGATGTTGCAGAGCGACACGATGGCACCTCTGGCCACCTTCATCTCGGCCTTCTGCTCCAGCGTGGGCACAGGATCCGGCTCGTTCATGCGCGCCAAGCGCTCGGCCCTCGGAATTGGGGGACGCTTCCAGTGGGCAATGCTGAAGTAGAACTCCAGGGCCTCCAGCAGAATCTCATCCTGCTTGTGTGTGAACAGCACACGACGTGCCTCATCCTCCACGGCAAAGTGACAGAGGGCGGGCATCATGATCCTCAGCACATCGATGGGCTCCTCTCCCTCCCGGGAGCCGGTACGCCAGGTCTTCAGGTCATGGAACGACTCATTGGCCACCTTCAGCATGAAGGGCAGCAGCTTGTAGATGGCCGGACGCATGGCTGTGGTTTCCTGGGCCAGCCAGGCGGACAGGATCCGTACGATGGCGAAAATGAAGTTCTTGTCGCGGGGATTTGTGCTCTCGCGGATCTTGTCATTGCTGACACGCGTGAGGACGGCCATCACCTGATTGAAGGCTCCCTTGAGCGCCGTGTACGTGGTCTGCTTCTCCTTGGGCTCCAGGTCCAGCTGATCGGTGGCCATGTACTCGATGCACTGCTCGAGGATCACGAAGCAGCAGGTGAGCAGCTCGGCCTGCTTGAAGGTCGTCTCCAGCTTCTTCTCGTCCATCTGCATGCGCACCTCGATGGCTGCCAGCTGCAGTAGCGACAGGAAGAACTGCTTTTGCTCGTCCATGAAGGCCCACTGGATGCCCAGCACCTGCAGGGTGGTGGCAATCAGATGCAGGGCCGGATCACGCTGCTTGGGCCCTATCTTGGCCTTGAGAATATCACCGCAGCCCTTGAACAAGCTCTCCGGCCAAATCTGGCCGTCCAGTGAGTTGTTCACGACCTCCTTGCGACAGGTGATGAGGATGTCGGCCAGAATCCGGCACAGCTCGTACTTTCTGTCCGTGTGATCCGTCTCCATGTCCAGGGCAATGCGCTGGATCAGGGCATGGAAAGCCGTGGGATCCTCTGGCCAGGAGAGCACTCCAAACTTGTTCACCAGCTGCACAATCAGATGCAGGGCCTCGTCCGTCTGGAAGCTCTGGGCCGAGTAGATCTGCGACATCTTGGGGATGGCGCCGGTGGCCAGGAGCGCCTGCTGTCCGGGCGCATGGCTGGCGATACTCTTCAGGCAGCTGTAGGCCTCACTCACGACAATCAGATTGTCCTCGTAGTCCTCGTCGTCGGCCTGCTCGACAATCTCCAGCAGTGTGGGTATGGCAGCAATGATGTCCTTGTGCGTGGCCAGCTCCTCCTCCTGGCAGAAGCACGTGAGGATCGACAGAGCGACGCTCTTGTACACCAAAGGGGGGCAGTCATTGGGCAGATCCTTGGAAACGAGCAGCTTCTTGAGGAAGGGGAAGCCAATGGCCTCGAAGAGCAGCTTCTTGCCCTCGGCATTGGCGTCCCTGCCCTTCACCAGCTTCGTGACCATAAAGAGCACCGCGAACTTCTCCGTATCGCTTTTTGTGCCCTTCAACAGGTTGGCGCACTTGCGCACGGGCTCTGGCACATCCGTCATTCTGTGCTGCTGCTGCTGCTGCTTACTGCTGTTCCCTCTTTGTATCTCTCGGGTTCTTTCTATATATATATATCCTCTATATATACAGATATATGTGGTGCTGGCACAGACTTTCTATTAATATCTCCTCACACTTTCACTTGGCTACAGTTTTCCCGTTGGTGCACGGATTGCTTTTTCTTTTGGGGAATTCTTTTCGCTGTGGCACCTTCTCTCGACGACGCACTCTCGCGCACTGATCGCCAGCCAGCGGAAAACTCACTCATGGCTTTTCACCAATGAATTTTCCAAAAGGCCAACAACAAATACAAGCAGCAGAGCGGCAGCATGCAGCTGTTGCCACTCGAAGGAAAACCTACACACAATTTATTTATAAATTGATCATACACTGTGCATGGCAGAGGGTTGCCTTGACTTGGGCGTGGTTTTTGCTCAACGATGTGTCATCCAACTCAGAAGATATAAGTAGGTACATATGTACGTATATTTCGGAATCTGTTTTGATATTCAAGGGTTTGTAGTCATAATACAAGTTGGGAACCACACTGATTCACTTTTAAAAACTTTCTTAAAGTCAAGAAACTATTTGCAACATTCTGAAAATGTAGATAATTTGGTTTTAATTTTTAAAAATCATCCCAAAAGTGTATTTTTTTGTTCATCAACAAAATTTTCCACATATTCTTTTACCTATAGAATTTAAAAAGCATTTAAAAATCACACCAAGTCTAACCAAATGCATGGCTTTCCCTCTCTGTTCATTATTTTCTACCGAATTTCTTGCTCTGGTTCGCCTCATTCTCTCTCTCTCTCTCTTGTGAGCATCGTTGTGTATATTTAGAATATGATTTTTCGTTTTTCCGACTTTTCATGTTTACATTCAAGTCGACTGTGAAACGTACGCTGCCTGCCGGTTGCATTTCTTCCAGAATATTTTCAATACCCCCATACGCCGCCATAGGAGAGCTATGTACAGTGATACTTATATACATTTTGTATAGGCATATAAATAGCTTTCAGTCCGTGCATCTGAATAATATATGTATATACTTAAATATTTATACATTTAACTTAGTTAGTATGTACTCGCCGTACATTGTGATACGCGCAAATTTGCATATTTAATTTGAAAGTGCTGCTTTCTGCTCTTTTCACTATTTTCACTCGTGGGGTCAATGAATTTCATTGCACGTTGCACTTTGTTTTATTTTAAATTCAATTTGTATTTCTATAGCATTTATTTTAAAAATTTTCGCCTTTTTTCTGATTTATGACGCACACACATTTATTTTGTCATAAATTTGTCGTATTTAAATCGAGTGGAGTGAGTTCTAATAACAAATATTAACATTAGTATAATGTATAATGTGTAAGCCCATATTTGGCCGTATTTTCCATATATTTAATTATAAATTTTGCTATGGCAAAACATCTGTTATTGTATATTCTACAATGACAACGAAAAAATAGAAAAAATAAGTCGATTTATTATGTGGTTCATTTATTACGTTGGCATTTAATTCTGTTTGTTGAATTTTAGATATCTTCCTAATGAGCCATACATTTTGACACATTCGCTAAAGCACATTTTCCTCTCAAATGAAGAGACTTTCCTCATGTTCATTCATTCTCTTTATGGCAGATGAGATGGCTGATGCACTCACATTTATATCCATTTGGTCTTTAACATTATGCATCGGTGTGTGCTGTGTGGTATGTGCTCTCTGCCCGTCCGCCAAAAGTCGGTTATTCGGTCAGTGTTGTCCATATTGGATCATAATTTAAATGAAAAACTTTATCCATTCGGGGATTATTTACTGCCGCACAAAATGCAAATTTACAAATTGTGTCTGGGGCCCAGGCAGCCAGAAACCAGCAACCAGCATCCAGCATTCCCCAGCTTGATTTCGCATTTCGCATAGTCGTATCGGAAAAAATAAAGCCATACAGAATATTCAGTTATGCCCGTCATATGAAGGGCACAGCAGTCTGGACCCGCATTTTGAGGGCGTAACTAAATCGGAACCCATATCGCGCTGCTTGTTTGCTTTTTCTATTATTATTTGTTGGGAGGGATATCTATAAAGCGGAGTGTGTGGGGGAAACAGTGGTCCTAGATGGGGAAAGAGTGTGCCTGAATGGGACAGCACCCAAGAGGAGGGAGTCTCTTGCAATGGCTCTGGCATTTTGACCATTTTTGGTCAAACGAGGCTTAATTGCGTTGCTAGCAATTTCCTATAATTGGGTTATAACGAAATTGATTAATTTTTACATTTCACTAATTATGTACGGGCCCCAAATCCGTTGCTATTGTTATTGCAATATTATAATTATAAAGCGGAAATATGCTGTGGGCGCGACCTCGAGTGTTGGGTAACCAAATTATGCGTTGTCTGCTTTCGGGCGGCTGTGGAAATGAGGGTTCTCAATACCCTATTGTGTCCCAGAGACTGACCTGACTGTTATCAAACCAGCCACATAACAAGGCTCTAGTAAAACTCAAAGCAAAGGCAACATTCAACATCAATAATTGAAATAAATCGCTTGACAAACGATGTTTGGTCGAAAGCCAGCAGAGAGACTACGCAAAAACTTGGTTGCACAAGAAGCAGATAGAGCAGGCAGGCAAAATGTGGCACAAGGGGCAGCACATGAAGGGGGCAAGCCCAGCAGGAAAAGTGTGAGGCACCAGTGTGGCACCCGAGTAAAAGCAAAAAAGAGAAAACATTCTTATCACTAATCAGGAGAGCAAGCCAGAGCCAACCCGGGAATGGTAGAAGAGACAGCCACTGACCTCTCAACAGCAGAAGCAGAAGGGGCAGCGGGGACAACAGCAGAAGATGCAGATGGAAGGGGAATAAAATGCGGACTGGGCCAACAATTCTCTGGCAACTCTCTCGCACTCATGCTTCCGCTTCCATTTCCGTTTCCGCCTTCACACCACCGCCCATTGTGGACAGTGCTCCTCCAATGCTTGGGGTTCTGCTGGGGCGGCTGCTGCCCCTTAGTTCGAGCTCGAGAGTTTGCAAAGCTATTTCGAAATGTTTTGACAAATGATTTTGTTTATATTTTCCATTTCATCGAAGCCACGCAATGGTGACAGTTCTGTGGACAGTCGAGGCCTGCTGCTGCCGCTGACCTACAGTCCTGAGCCCAGATACTGATAGATAACAATGAGAAAGTTTCGACTTCTTCCTCGTGGAGGGAGCGGCGAGATCATCAACATTGATTTCACAACTTTTTGTTGGCGGGTGGGCATCGTCAATAACATTCAGTGATTGTCATCTTCATTTGGATGAGCGAGCGCCCCATCCAGGCATCATTCGGTGGTGGCATGTCTGGGCGTGGCACCGCTCCAATTTGCAACCAAAAACCCCAAGAAAAAATAAATTGTCTGTCATTATGGGCTTTAAGTTTGGTCAACGTATCATTTGACTGTCGATGAGCCTTGAATTGGGTTCAAGACGAATTCAAGTTGACAAAGTTTATGGCAGAATGAAATGAATCTTTTTAGGAAGTACAGACGCCTGTCTGTCCTTATATTAGAGCACTTTATGGCTGAAAATAGAAGCCTTTAAACAGAATTACATGGCAGTAATCATGTGTTAGCTAAGAACAGTGCCAGAAAATCTCAGTAATCTCAAATATTGGGCATATTATTATTAAAAATAATAAAACTGTAATAATATTATTAAAATAAATTAAGTAAAAATAATTACAAGGCACTTGAGGCACACTTGTTGGCATCTTAATTCGCTGTCAGAGATGGGGAAAAAACGTACAGCTGATGCCATACACATGAAAGTGAAACCCATCCCTCATGGGAAGCCTTGGGCCACCCCTAAACAAGTTCAAAATAATCACTCATCTCATACACGTGCGCATCGTTTGGGTTCGGTTCCTTTGCAGTTCTGATTTCCTTCATTTGCCGTTTGTTTGGTGAAGGCCTGGCACGTGCCAATTTATATTTAAATTTAAATGCAAAAATGGAATCAAAATTCCGGGCTACACAAAATGGAATTAAATTTCAAAAGGCAGCAGCATCACCACTGGCAGTGCGTCAGAAGAGAAAACAATCATATTTTCACAAAATGAAAACACATCGGAAAGGTTCTGTTCTGGCAACAGCATCTGTTGCTTGTTGACGGTTTTCGTTTACACAATATTAATGGCTGATTAATGTTCGAGCTGGAACACAGTTTCCGGTGAATTTTGGCAGGTTATCCGATGATTCCCTCGAAGACCAACAGCCGACCTTATTCCCTGCCAGGTCTGAAAAATCTTCGAATAGATCATTTGTCGTGGAGCACAATGGATCCCGAATGAGTGTGGTCGGTTGGTCGGTCGGTTGGCAGTTATCCCGTAGAACTTTTGTAATTGCGGTGCCATTGTTCACTTGAGTCGTATTGTTGTCCCAACATCACCAAGAGAGAGCTAGACAGAGACGGCTATAAAGAGTGACAAAGAGAACGAGTGAGAGAACGAGAGTGAGTGAAAAGAGACGGAGGAAGGGACAGGCAACAAATTATGCAAATCCCCTTTTGAATGGCTTATCCTTCATGAATTTATATCGAATCGTAAACCCAATGACGACGGCGCTTTAAGGCGTGGAAGGCCGGCTCCTTCGGCCATTGGAACAATAAAAGCTCATTTGTTGCTATTATCATTTCACTAACAAATAACAAATCATCGAGCAAACGTTTCGTCCCCTACTTCTTCTGGTGCAAGGTGGCCACCTCCTCCTGCTTCTGGTGGCAAAGTGGCAGCCAAAAGCGTGTTCACCTCAGCAACGGGTGGCACGGCACCCCTGATGCTGTACAAACTGCTGCCAATAAATTCTGTTAATAAACCAAAAGTTGTTAATTTAAATGATTTATATCTGAAGTAGGATATTTTTCTCTTCCTCCTACACACACACACACACACACATACAGAGAAAGGAGGGAATAATGGTAGTATCCCTCTCCCTGGATCCTGAATCCGGTAGCCATGGGAATGCGCTTGTTATTGCTGAGCCTCAAAAATTTACGTAATTTGGCATAACCTTTTGCCTGGCCAGAGGACCAGGGACTTCAGTTCCGAACCTGATTTTCCTGCCGTTTGTTTGCTCAGACCTGCTCCCCCACACAAGTCTCTTCCGCTGCGTGCGTGGTGGGGCAATAGGTCAAAGTCGATGTGGCAATGGCGGAGGCGTAGAGGCGGAGGTTTTGTTGGTGGGTTGTCCGTTGCCGTCAGCTTAAACCAATTTACGTTGCCGATGTCTTTATTGGAGGGTCCGTGGGTCGAGAAGCCGTTTGCCCCAGTGCCAAGCGCCGTGTGTCATGAATTATGGCGCCTCCCAAAAACGGCACAACTGTGCGTATGCGTAATTTGGCAAAACCAACTAGACTGCCCACCGTCGTGCACGCCCAGCCCTCCCCAGTACCGCCGTGTCTATGGCCATCCTTCCGTTTCATTATACATTATACATAGATAGACACATAAACGAATCCAGCTGCTTTAGATGAGACAACACTGAAAGAAAATGTTGCTAAAGTTTTGATTCCAGCTAAAGGATGGCTGACAATATAGTCAAGGCATTTGTAGCTATTGCCAACCATCTTCCCTAGGAACGCTTTTAAGAGAAAAATCGTTTTTCTCGTTTCTGAACTTAAAAAATAATCCTCTTTTCCGAATCCATTCCTAACTGCCACATCTGTTTTTTTTTTGCAGTGTATTCATCCTTATAAGGATTTATCTATATATCTGCCTTATTGTTTGCCATAGAAATTATTTCATTTGTTTGTGTTTATTACAGGCAAATCTCATTCAATGCCAGTGCCTGTGCCTGTGTGCCTGTGCCTGTGCACGTTTCAAGGAAACATCGTTCATTTTCCACAGCGTTTACTTTTAATGGTTCGCTTCGTCGAATGTTTTTGCGGGGGATTTTCCACATCTTAACTCTGGCCGAGACCTACAAATATTTGATGCGCCAGAGCGTCAGTTGTTTTGGGTTTTATTGATTGGCGGCGGTGGCGGCGTGCCTGGGTTTATGGGTATATTCTCCCACAGCATCCAGCTTCAGAGCAGACACCCTCTCAGCCCATTCTGAATGCTCTTGGTCTTGTTTTGGCTTGGCTTTCAAGCGTGAACGTTGCGCTACATTGAAAGGGATTTCTCGGCATTTAAATGGCTTTCCCTTTTGGGCCGGTAGACTGAAGGATGCTCTCTATCCCTCTCTCCCTCTCTCTCTCTCTCGCTTTCTCTACGCGGATGCCTTCGACTATGAGCAACTAATTTCCTCAGGATGGGAATGGCAGGCAACCACAAATGGAGGAGCATGAGAGGTATCCTGTTGCACATGCATTAACCATGGCATTCATAACATTATGCAAACTTATACAGGACCTACATACATACATACATACATAAGTACACACGGACAGCATTCACCAAAAGATCTCATCGGGTCTTCCGGTTTGTCTCGGTGATGTTCACATTGTTTATGCTCTGGAATAAATGAATATAAAACATTTAGTTTACAGCTGCCATTTGACAAGCACTCGCCACATCTCTCCAACCACCCCGCTCCCCCCTCGAAGGTGGATTCGTTCGTTGTTGGTTTTGCATTTTCTTTTAATAAAATACATGAATTATGCAGAATAGTTGTTGCCAAAAATGAGGGGACAGATAGAGATGAAGATGGCGACACTGAGTTGATTTCTGAGCTTTCCTCTAAACCACTTGACATTGAAATGCCACTCAACCCAAAACAGAAAGAGCACACCCACGAGAGGTAGACAGTTGAAAGATGGGGGAAAGTTGGCCAAGTTCTTCGGCCTTCTATATATACTTACCTGTTTCATATGCAAACTCTCTCTCCCTCTCAAAGATTTGCCAATGTCAGTCAGTGCTGCTGAATTTGCAATTCAGCTCGTAAATTTACTGATTTGTTTGCCACAAAAAGGTGGCGGCGCCTCTTCTGATGAGTCAAGTCGACTCGATGGCGAGTCATGGCTCGTAGGTCAAGGCTAAGCCTCAACTGAAAGGGGTTTTCGGTATTTTTTTTGGTTTCTTGTGGGGATGGGATGAGGTTGAGGGAAATAAATTTGCAATTGATAGCCCTGGACTGCCACGTAATCAGTTTAAAAGGACCGAATCTCAATTTGGCAATTGAGTTTCGTCTGTGGTTCTACGTTCACACCCATAATCCAATCGTTTGAGCGCTTTTATGGATTCGACATGTCAAATCGCGTGCAAATTTCTTTGAATTTGTTTCGCTGCGGGTCTCATCCTGCTGTAGGTCCTCCGCCCATTCCTCATCCAACTCGCAGCACCACCACCACCATTCCGCAATCAAATACAAAACCCCATGGGGGGTGCAAAAGGTTTTTCTCGTGTCCATAAGAACTTTCTTTTTGTTTTTTTTGTATAACACTAAAGTGGTAAAAATACACAGGAGAAACGATCAAAATAAAAGAGAGAGACACCAGCAGCAGCAGCAGAGGACACAAAAAAACTTATTCAAGTCATGTAATTTGGTGGAACTTCCTTTGATATGGTACATTCCCTCATGTTTTGTATGCGTTCCCGTGCAAATTGGTTCTGTTTTTTCGCATTTCATTTTATTTACTCGCGGCGACATGTAGCCGTCCATATTTATTGCATAATTTTCAACATAACTCCCACACTCACCACCCCACACAGAGAGGCCCCAAAAGACACCCAACATTGATTGTACAAATAAGGAAAATCAAATATTGCCCGGCACTTCAATTTCGTTGGGGATTTTTACTCCCAGGGGCAGGCAGCAGTTCAGGGGCCGACTGACAGCTTCTTTTGGGCTTCCCCCGATTTCCGCCATTTCGCTTTGTGTTCCTCCCCCCCTTAATTGGCAATTGAAGCGCTTTGATTAAATTAAAGGATATTCATTTAGTGTTTTTATTTGGCGATAAAGCGGAACTCTTTTATTTTATTTATGAATCAAAGCGAAAGAAAATACAAGTATGCAAGTGTGGAGTCCAAAAAGAAATATGCGCACACATATTATTGGCATGGGATTAAATACATGTTTTAATTTATTATCAATGTATTTATTGCAGTTTTAACGATGTAACAGCTGAACAAAATATGGATATTATCCATTTTTTTTCACTTATATCCTTACACCTACAATTTTACTTTTAAAAATTTTGATTTTCGATCAATTTGGCGCCAAAACCGTCGCACCGATAGTATCGTATCATTAAATATATCGATATATTAAAAATCAACGTTCCAAATTGCTGGTCCTTTGTGTGCGTGCTGTGAAATTATCAGGGATAATTATATTTTCAGGATATTTTAACTACGAAAATGAGCTAAATGTATATTTACGGTATATCGGAATGTAATCGTATATTTAATCAATTGCATGCGTTTATTATATTGCATATTAGGGTATTTTTAAGAATAAAGGGTATCAAAACTCCCATACGCATGCTTTTCAAATGTCCCTCGAGGAATTTGTCTCTTTCCCATAGGGATTTTCTCCATCTCTTTTGGGGTAAATTCTCTCTCGTAACATGGGCATTTTCATAGCAACAATGAGTCTTTATTCTATCCCCACTTACTTTGGATACAATTATAGTTTTAGCGCTGAGAATCCTAACTACCTTGTAATATTAAATATAACATCAAATTCGAGAAAATGATTTAAGATTACGGTATATTTGCGGTATATTTTAAAAATGAGACGGTACGATTTGGTATATTATTTTATCGATTAATCCGCGGTCACACTGGAACCATTCAAAATTTAGCAAGGATTTGAAAAGGGAATAAATTGGGAGAAGTGCCTGCTACCTGAATGAAACGATCCTGGATTAAAATGTGTGGCCTACTTACGACGATGTAAGTTAAGTGCAATTATTTTATTTCATAAATATATTTAGAGTTTTTTATTTACATACAGAGCATCTCGGATGAGGAACCTGCTTTTGATCCTAATTGGCTAATATCTATGCTCTGTCGGAGATTTTAGGCCAACATTCAGAAAGCCTTGCAGTCGACAGATAAGAAGCCCAAAACCAAAGACCATCGGACTTGTTTCATCCCTTTAGAAAAATATAGACACACATACATATGTACATATATAAATTATATATTGCTAGAATTGCAGCAGTTCTAGTTGGGTCTTGCTATACATTATTTTGGATTTGTATTCAGGTGATACATATGTAGTAATATTTGTTTAAGAGTAAGATAACATCTAGAAGGAGTACCTCTTTGTTCGTCATTGGGCATGCATTTCGGCGTCCTCGTGCATCATCTTGACCTCGACGCCCATCATCTCCACGCGCGAGCTCTCGGCTATCATCACAGCATTCTGATGGCATTTTGTTTCCTCGTGCTGGCGCATGTGATGGAGCAGGCGGAAGTCCTTCTGGCAATAGTCGCAGCGGTACAACTTGATGTCCGAATGGATGAGCTCGTGCTTGGTCAGAGAGTGGGCATACGCAAACGCTTTGTCGCATACCTTGCACACATACGGCTTGACGCCGCGATGCACACTGTGAGAAGGGAAATGATCTATTAGCCGGGGTGGGATGGTGATGAATTCTATATACACTTACTTCTCGTGGGCCTTCAAGACGCTCTCATAGAAGAACTGACGGCTGCACCAGCTGCACTTAAAGGGCTTGCTGCCGGTGTGGGAGTACATGTGCTTGCGCAGCTGTTCGCGCACATGGAACTCGGCGTCACACAGTCTGTAAATGCAAATGAAAGGCGGACAATCATTAAAGTGTTTCAACCCTACAACCTTTCACTGGTCCCCAACACTTACTCGCACTGGTATTGACAGACGGTGTCATGACGACGACGATGCTCCATCATGCGTCCTCGTTTCTCGTAGTAGTTTCCACAGATATCGCAGATAAAGCCGCCCTTCATCACATTCGAAGCACGAAGTCCTTCCACACGGCGGTTGCGTCCGCGTTTGTTCTTAAGACTGGCATTAGCCGCCTCCGTGAGGACCAGTTGCTGTGTTGACGTCTCCTCGAACGGTTTGCTCGTCTCGAGAACAATTTCATTCTGTTCGGGATTCATTTCGATGGAATAATTATCCTCCAAATACTCAATATTATCTGTTATGAGCTCCTGCTCTTGTTCCTCATGCTGCTCTTCTTCCTTCTGATCATATTCCTGCTCCTGCATCTCTTCGCCCTCTTCCAATACAAGGTATTCGCCACCTTCGGATTTGTCGGCACCCTCCTCCAGAATGTAAAGCGTCTCCTCGCCGTGCATATCGCCTTGACTTTCCTCCTCCTTGATGAACAACTCATCCGCCTCATCAAACATGCCTATCTCACGGCAATACTCTTCGATGCACGCCTGCTTTCGTAAAGCCTTTTCTCGGAACTGAAATGCCATATTCAGCTCCACCTTGCACGTCTTGCATATACAGTCTGGTATATTTTCTTTGTCATTCAACTGAATCGAAAAGCAAAACCAATATGATCACTTTTAACACTCAAATAACGTCAATGGGGAGTGCGAGTGGGGGTGCTCGGCACTTACCTTGCTGTACGAGACTCCGAGCAGCTGTATGAGCATTTCGTTTGGAGTCTCCTCGCCTTCCTCGCGTGTTTCGTCGAGACGCTGCAGGCGTGGGCTCTCTTCTAGGCACACCCGACAGGTTTTTGGACCAATTTCAATGGGCATATTTGTTTCTATGTGTTATTGGGTTTTATATTTAAAGAACCGCGTTATTTGCAGTACTTTCAGTGTTAAAATTTGTGTATTACTGAAAGTGTTGTGTAAAGCGAGTGAAAAAATTCTCGGCCATTTTATTTCAACAGGGATGGACAGCCTCACTAGGGGTTCACTTGAGGCACTAGCCTCGCTGGTTCCGGTTGGTGGTTCCCGAAACCATGGTCCAAGTTACGTTTTGGTGTGGTATTTTAAAAGAATAGATACATAGAAAATTCTTTTGATGAAATATTTGGATAACGAATGCATACGGAGATGCATTTATTTCACTTATCGCTTTTTAAGTTCATTTTGTAGACAAATGTATGAACTGGATCATTTTTTGCCTGCCCTGGTCAGTAGCGATAACGATAGCAGCGAAAACATCCATATAAAACGAAAACTGATTGCACATGCATACGCATACATTAGCTTGTTAATAAACTATGTTTATAAAAACATTTGGTAATTTAAGCAACTATAACACTTCAATTTATCGGAATACAACACCGTGTTTACATCTCATAATGTTGGTGAAAATTAGCACGTTTGGTGCTCCGACGATCTGGCATCACGGTGTATAATTTCGAGACGCAGAACGAGATATTTTTTCTTATCTCTAATCGAAAAAATGGATTATTCTATTTTATTTAGGTATAGTCTAATTAGAAAGTCGCATTCAGAGTGGCAGTAGACTAGTCTAGACAGTTTTTACTTGACAAAGTGTGCGTAGCAAGGCCCAGGGCTAGCACATCGCGCCCAATCGAATCACAGCCGATCGCCAAAAGCGAAAATGCTTTATTATCTTGCAATCCGTATCTTCCGTTGTGTCGTTCTGTCGTAGTCGACACATTCGCCGTCAAAATGTTCGTCGTTATCGACTCCGCAATCTTCATCTCCTAAGGCACTCCACACACACGCGTCAGCTCGTCCGGCTAGTGCGTAACACACTCCGGAACGGAACCAATTCGCCAAAAGGAAAATCCATCCACACAATAAAAAACAGAGCAGCAACAGAGCAGAGCAAACGAGTAGCCAAACGAGTGCGGGGAATCGGAGGCGCCGCTAGCACCTAGCCAGCACATATATCATGTCCGAGAAGCATGGCCAGCTGGGTGCGCAGTGGACGAAATCAGCAGCGGCGCCAACAGCATCAGCAGCAGCTCTAGCCTCGGCTCCATCTCCCATCCCGCTCCAGAAACTCCCGAATACGAGTCAAAACTTTCCAGCCACAAACCATCCTTATGGCAACAGCGGGATACCTGGACTCCCGGGCATACAGCCAGCGGACGTACCGTATAGCTCGGGACGGTTTCAGGCCCCGTCCATCATCCATGCCAAGGCCTCGCCCCTGACCATCGTGCCTGTGGGCAGTGTCGCTGGCCCCCACTGTCCCACCCAGGTCTCACCCACAAGCCACCACACAAATGTACCTGTAACCGTGACCGTGCCTGCTCCCAGTGGTTTTGTGCCGCCGCCGTTTACAAATGCTGGCAGTGCCACAACGTCCGTTCTGCAGGCAAATCCGTTTGCAACGGTCGCCGGGAATGCCTTTGCCAATGCCTTCAACTTCAATACGGCCCAACAGCTGATGCATGCCATGAGTGGTGCATCGGCTGTGAGTGCCACAAGCACGGCAGCAACCACACCGAACACAGCAACAGGGACGCCTGGCATAGCGGGCGTGGGTCCTACCCAGAGGCATCCCGTCGAAGCAGTGCCCACGACCAGTGGCGTCATCAATTCCACCATAGCTGAAAATGTAATGAATGCGCTATCCAACTCGAACGCTGCCTCTGAGGAGAAGATGCGACGCGTGAAGCAGGTGATTGAGGCCAGTATTGAGTGAGTATATTCCCATTTATCTGTGGCATTGATTGCATAACTCTCCTATAATCCTCCTACCAGTGACAATGCCAAGCTACAAATCTCGCAGATTCTCGAACGTGTGGCGGTGTTGAAGCCCATTGAGAAACTATTTCTTTATCTGCGTCTGCCGGGGGAGTGCGCGGACTCGGATCCATTGAGGCAGCCACAGAATCCGCTGGGCACACGCTCTGAGATTAATCACACCATTAACTGGGTGCGCTCCCATTTGGAACACGATGCTCAGGTCTCCATACCAAAGCAGGATGTGTACAATGATTACATGTGAGTGAAAGAACCTCATTATCAGTTCCATGGCTTATGTTCCACCCTTTTTCCAGTGCCTATTGCGAACGCCTGAGCATCAAGCCCTTGTCCACGGCGGACTTTGGCAAAGTCATGAAGCAAGTCTTTCCGGGCGTGCGTCCACGTCGTTTGGGCACGCGTGGAAACTCTCGCTACTGCTATGCGGCCATGCGCAAGACCACGAAGCTAACGCCGCCACAATTGCCGGCACTCTGCAAAAGCGAACAAATCACAGGAGATGATGCCACGGCAGCAACAGCTACTGCCATGCCCCAGATGAATCACTCGCCGAGTGTTGTGCTGCCTCCGATGGCGACTGGCGACAGCGATAACTGGGATGTGGTGCGCAGTTGGGCGGAAAAGCTGCTGAACACGAAACTAGATAGCATTGCAGACCTGAGCACGCGGATCAAGAGCAACAATGCCACGGTTATGGGTGTACATTTGGGCGCCAAAAAGTACACACCACGGGAGCCCAAAGAGAAGCGTGTTTTGGCCGTAAGTTGGAAGTTTTGGGAGGGGGAACACCTTAGAATTGATCGGTCTTACACTCTTCATTTTCCAGGATATGGGTCCACTGAAGAAGCGACGCAAAAAGAAACGCAAAGGCTCGACATCCTCAGAGTCGAGCTGCAATCAATTGGTGGCCGGGCAGCAGGATGCAGGCAGCAGTCAAGATGCCATCGATGAACCGAAAACGGAGCAGCTGATAAAGATCAAGCAGGAGATTTTAGACTCACCCGTACACCAGTCCCAGTGCCAGTCTCAGTGCCAGTCCCAGTCCCAATCCCAGCAGCAACTGCAGCAGCAGCCACCAATGAGTTATCTACATCAAATGATGCCCATGAACCTCGCCACAGAGCAGCGGAGCAACAGTGCGGTGCGCAATCTGACGCCCAAGATCATGGAGTTGGGTGTGGTGCCGCCAACGGTTGTGCTCACACAGCAGCAAGATGAGCCATCGCCCACAACTATGGTGATCAAGGACGAGGTGGAGGACTACAATACATCCAATATATTCTGCAAAAAAGTGCTTAAGGCGCAACAAACGAAAGGATTTTGGGCCAACTCCCCGAGCAGCGGTACAACGGGAGGCGGGGGAACCTTGCTAGTCCCTCCCGTGATCACAACGACAGCGGCGACACCACCGCCACCGGACATCTCGCCAGGACCCATGTCCATGGGGCCGCCAGCGCAAATGATGATTTCCAGTTCGGTGAGCCCCTCCAGCAGCATGGACAGCAACAACACCACACCGAAGGTGGCCTCACGCAACATGATTCTGCTGCGTGCAAAGCGCCTGCTGGCGGCGGAGAGTGCCGCTGCCCTGACGGCCGCTGCAGAGGATTCGGGACTGCCGGAGAATCTGGGTTTGCCCAGGGAGCGGGTGATTAGCATCTGTAATATGGATAAGCACGAGCTGGACGACTACTTCCTGCCCGTTGAGGATGAGGAGAACTCCGAGGAGCCCGACACCGAGCTGCTTCAATATTTTCAGATGGGAGACGCTGAGGAAAAACAACTGAATTCCTTAGATGCTGTAGAACAGAACAGAAATCCACAAGGAGCACCGACAACAACGTCGACAACGACAACGACAACGATACAGGCGGGAATGGCGCCAGCGATGCAACAGCAGCAACAGACCCATACCCAGCAGCCTCAGTCGAATCGTGAAGCCACAGCGGCCATGCCCTCGCCACAGGGGGGACTGGTCGTCTCATCGACATTGTTGCCCGGTCAAGCGAATGTGGGTTCTGCCTCAGCGTCTCTGGCTTTAATGTCAAAGAAGCATCAACACCAACAAAACCAACAACATCAACCGCAACAGCAGCAGCCACAACATAGCCAGCAACAACAGCAACTGCTGCAGCTGCGAACCAAACAGCTGCCAATAAATGGCAATCCCAACCAGAACAACAGACGAAAGATCAGCCTGAGCAATGCCTCCAGCAATGGCAGCAACAAGAATTGTATATTTCTGCCCATTTCCCCCAATATCAACAATGGAGGAGGCGGAGGAGGAGCACCACCACCTGCAACCACCACAACCCAAGTGCCGCAGAATCAGAATCCAACAAATTCCAGTCAAAATTGCTTTGCCAGTCCTGGCGTCACGCGCATGCGGCAACGTTCTAGTTTGCTAACCAAACAGCAATCCCTCGACTGCGATGGCAATCGAGATCCCATGATTGGGGCAACGCGTAGAAAACGCTGCTATGTCTATAGCTATCCCACAAGCACCTCAGCCTCGGCGCCGCCAAGCCCCTCGTTGCTGCAGCAGTGCATGGTGGGAAATTGGCCATTTGGTGGATCAAACTCCTTCCCAGACACAAACAGTGCGGATCCCATGATCAATCAGAACTCTATGGATCTGGAGACGAGCCTGGCCCTGACGGGTGGCGACGATCTGGATCTGACGGAGACGCAACGCTCGCAGTCGGTGCCGCTGTCACAGCTACAGAGAAGCTGCCATCCGTCGCCCAGCTTCAATCGGCAGACCAGCTTTCAGGCTTCCAGCTATGCGAGCGATACCTTCTATTCGGAGAACAGCAACAGTCAGAATTCAGTGGCTGTGGCACCCCTGAAGGACGTGGAGGCTGCCGCTGCTCTGCTCTACGAAGTGGATGTGGGTGCCATGATATCGCCGAGTTTCAACAATAAGTTCGGGAACATTTCCCAGCAAACGGCCACCACATGCAGCTCCTCGGCTGGCTCCTCCTCTGGCTATAGCAGTGGTGGTTCTGCGGGCATTGTCTCGCGCTCTGTGCCCTCCACACCGCTGCCGCATCAACAGCAGAATAACAACAGTCTGGCTGCCCTTAATGGGAATGGAAGTGGCAATGGAGTAGATGGAGGAGGAAGCAGCCTCAATGCCACAAATGGTTTCTTCAACATCTCGCCATCGTTCAACTGGGAAACATCGAGCAATGGCATTCAAGGCGGGGCCTATGTCTCGTACAGCGCTCGCAATACAATGGATATATCCAAGTCGATGCCCACGACGCCCATAACCACGCCCTGCTTTCGTTACAGTCCCGTGGAGTTGCATCGGGATTTCCTGATCAATGGCTGCACCATAGACCTAGGGCCCTCGTCTGCGTTTGTACCCGCGTGCATTGATGAGAATCCCGCTTTGACCCTCAGCTCGGACTCCCTAATGGATGACAGTTCGCCCAGCAGTATACTGGATACCTTGTAGAATTTGCACGAAGAGAAGGCTCAGGAGGAGATTACAAAACCAAGGGAAGAAAAAGGAGAGGAGAAGGATGACAAATCTGTTGCCCAAATGCCCGAAGATGCCACTGTGGTGGCCTATCTGTTGGAGCATGTGGATCAGTTGTAGAAATGTCTTATCCTCTCCCATCCGATCGTCTCGTTTAATTTTATTGTTGTGTTCATTTCGTGTTTAGTTAATCCCGTGCCTCGATGTATCAGTGTCTCTCCCGCACACAGAATGAGCTTTCTCTTCGCCATGAAAATCCCAAACTAAACTCTTAACCACAGCTTAGCTTCTGCCTTTAATTGGTTTCAAAACTATCCAAAATTTCCATGCCCAAGAGAGTGAGCGAGCTGAAGCTGAAGCTTCACATCCTCTATCTATCGTATCTATTGTTACCCTCAGGCCCCACCCCATTGTTGTATATTGTTATTGTAATATTAACCTAATCCTTAAACCAATGACGATTGATTTCTGTATGTAAATGGATGATAGATTTTACTGTTGAACAAACCTTACAAAAACGAAACGAACTTAAAGTCTGAATGAAGGAAACGTGTGCAGCGGTTTTAAAAACGGAAAACAAATCTACAAACAATATGTAATTGTAAAACGAATGTACATCTTAGAGAACTAAAGAACTGCGTATTATCTCGGCGCATGTCGAGTATTCCTATGACCCCAGAACTATTTCTAGCGTGAGATATTTCCGCATATTTATTCATGGGTCATATGGAAGAAAGTTTTAGTTAAAAAATTGCCAGAATTCAATTGTGTGTTTGTATAGTATTGTACGGTATTCATTTGTTCAGATTATAGATATAGACATGTGGATAGGTGCCTCCTTCGATTTTACTAACACTACCTCCCCACCCCTTGATCGTTCTATTACTATACTTTCTATCTATGTATCTTTTATCTTTAATGCTTTGATTCTTCTTCGATTAGTTATAAGTGTTTGTTTGTTATAAATGTTTTTTATATATTTTGTTCTCTTACGTGTAGTTCTCTAGGTTCTTATCTTTACTATTCCGCTTTGGGCTTTATGCGAGTTCTCTAGTGTCTGGAACTCTAGTTGTAATATCGTTTCAGGTAGTCGCATCATTTTCTTCCAAATTTTTTGTTTAGCTATAAAAATATATTTTATTTCTTCAGAATTTGTGTAACAAAGTAAAAAGTCTATTACCGAACCCAATTCCGTTCTAAGACAACAATTTTATGTGCGAGTAAAGTTTTTTAAAACGTAATTGTAAACAAAAAGAAATGATAAATGTGCCTCAGGCTTTATTGTAAAACAATTCATGTGTAAAAAGCATATGCCACAGGAAAAATAAAACAACTATACATACAAACATACAAAATGCATAAGCAAAAGGCGAAAAAACCAGAAACCAATAAAAAATATACACATAAATAGTTTAATAGAATGTTATACGAGTACATTACAAAAATATACACTCATTTACACAAAACAAAACGCAAGACGCAAACGCTAGGGGAAACAATTGAGTTTCAGCAGAGAATTTCTTAAATGCATAGTCAGCAAACGTAATGTAATCATAAAGTCCTACAATAATCAGAAATCCAATCCAATAGACTAACATAAACACACTACATCCAATATGTATTTAATGTCGTAAGTAAACGAAAGATAAACAAGTGCACGCCCTAGGATCCCCCGCTTTCAGCAATAGCAAACAAATATACTATGCAAATAGAAATAGCTGATAAGGTATGGTATTTAAATGTAATGGAACATATTTGTCACCGGGAACACTTTATAGAGATATGAAATTGATATGCAATTATACAGAAACAATGCATTCAAGTTAAAACGAACCAAAACTGTACTTTTTTATAAGATATTTGAATGACATAAAATACAGAAAAACACCAGAAACCAATGCTTGGATCTTTCTATTTTTGATAACACTTCGGAATAAATCGGCATCTCGTACCATCCTTAACTCTTTTCATAGCTTTTCATCCTGACTTGCCTTTTTCCATATCCCAATAAAACTCACTTCATTGCATCTGTGTTAATTATATTTTAATATTTTTTATTAAACGTTTAAGTTTAAAATAATAATATGCAATAAATATTTGTTAAATATACATAATAATACCTTTTTAATGTTAATATGCGTGTGTGGTGTGTGTGCTCCTTTACTGTGTTTTTTTACTTCCTCTCACATTTTTTTCCGACATTTTTATATTCTTTTTATAGATTGTTTGTTTTTTATAAATTTTACATGTAAATTTAACTATTTTTTATTAATATTTTATATGCATTTTACATGACATTTTGTTTTAATAGCGCCAAAATAATATTCCATTTGCTACAACACTTGCTTTTATTTCATTTCGTTTCTCATTTGCGATTTCCCCGATTTTAGTTCGGGCTCTGTATATTGTAAATGGGTATATTCCTATATAATATGTACATATATATTGTATGTACGTATAAAAGTCGTGTACTGCCCCTTGATGTATTTCCATTAGTTTCATAATATTGTTGTTTGTTAATCTTTACACTACGCTAATAGCACATTTGAAATTCCCTTTATTTGCTATTTCTATTTTTTTTTTATTTATTTATATATGTTTTACGTATATATATATAATTTTCTTTTAATGTTATTATTATTTGCTTTCCTTTTATTTATTATTTACTGTTTGCTAATATATTTTGTTGGTGTTATGCTGGTTTTTTGTTAAATGCTTTTTGTAAATCATTTTTTAATTATTGTTTTCCTGATATTTTTTGTTGAGTTTCTTCCCCGACTTCTATATTTTATATTTATAATATATGTATATATGTATATGTTGTATATGCCTGCTATATATATATAAAATTGTTGTTATCTCGCTGAGGTGGAAAATTCATTAATTAATAAGGTTACTTGTTGTTCTGTTTGCTGCTTTTGCTGTTACTGTTGATGCTGCTGCTGCTACTGCATGTTGCATGTTGCTTGTATACATTATCTAATTTCCTCTACTGTTCAGTTTTGTTTAGATTTATTGTTTTTGCGATTAATCATCTGTTAAAGTACACATCATTTTTGTTGCGGCTGTCTGTTTTTTTTATTTTTTGAGCACTCCTATAGCACCCCGTATTCCCCATATTTCTATTTCCATATTTGCATTATTACAAAAAAACCTTAGAAAATAAAAAAAATACATATATGAAAAAAGTACCAAAAGAATGTGAAATTGTCTTGTGCCATATAAATATGTATATTATATATCGTTATAAAGTGCTGCTCAATTATTGAAATATTATTGCTGCCAAGTCTCTTAATGCAAAGAAAAAATTCTTGCTACTTTTATTTTTTACCCTTTTAATATCATATTTCTCTATTTATTCGTTTTCGATTTGGTTGGAAGCAACGTTCAATTGGGGCAAAACGGGGTAGGGATTTGAATTTTCTGTGGAGGGTTGGTCCCAATTCATCTTTCGGTTGAATAACAAACCATAAAAGGATACGATAAGAACAGAAGAAACACAAAGTTCTTTAATTAGTTGACAATTTGTTTTATTTCAAAATTAATAATAAAGGCAAAAACTTTCAACTTAGGGACAAAAAACGTAATTAAACAATAAAAGAGACAAATAATTAAATACATAATAGTAATAATTGGTAATCGGTAATATAGAAAGTCAGTAACATTGTTCAATCAGCAAAGCGTGGGGTTCTCTTTCTCGGGGGGCTCATTGTCATCCTCAAACTCTTCTCTTACAAAACTAATACGAAAAAACGCGTCTAGCCTAATTTAAAATGTTTGCAATTTCGAAATAAAAACACACTAGTTTTAGTTGTAGTAGTAGTAATAGTAGTAGCAGTAGGGGGCTGGGCAGGACAATAACTATATATAATAGAAAGGGCCGGGCTGGGCAGAACTGAAAAACAAATGTGAGGTTGGGTTGGGGGTCTATACAAAAAGGTAACCATGCGGATAAAACACAATTCATTTCGTTAAAATTATAAAAAACTCTTATTTTTTAAAATTACATACAACATGTTCCACTCTGGCTAATCTGGCTAAAAAGAGCATTTTGTGTCGCATGGGGGGGATTGATTTTTTGGATTTCATTTCCTTTTTCCATTCAGTAAATTGAACTAAATTAGTTAACTAAATTAATTACTCGATGTGGTGGTGTTATTATTATTATTGTTGTTCGCTCCATTCGGGGGGCATGTGGGTGGCAGCAGCCCATCGCCGGTCTGACTGCGGCTGTCCAGAGACCAGTCCCAGTCCTTGCCCTTCGGCCGGAACTTGGATGATTTGTGATGGTAACCCGCATTATGGTTGGCACTGTGATGAGGCGATGATTTTTCTTTTGGCGATTTTCCCGATTTACCACCCATCATGTTGGCAACAACACCTCCAACTACGCTCGGCGTTTCCAGCAGTGCAGGCGGTCCATTACCAGCCGCATCGGCTGCTGTGGGCGGCGCACTGGAATTGGAGTAGGCCAACAGCTCGTCGCAGTCGTACTCCCAATTCCGCTCGCAGAACTTCTTCTTGTAGTGCTTCTCCGAACCGCTCTTCGACTTGCGCTGGTACTTCAGTGGGATTCCCAGCTCGTTGCCCAGCCCCAACGGAGCATTTGCCAGCGGAGGGGTCGCCACACTGGCGGCACTCGGACTCGGAGTTCGTGGCAACCCAACATCCGACAATGGCGGCGAGTCAATGGCACTGGGATCCACCGGAGAGACGGTCTTCAGGGAGCTACCAGCCGTGGACTTCATGCTGCTGTCGCTCAGATGATCTGTCATTTGATGATGTTGCTGCTGCTGGTGCTGGTGCTGGTGCTGCTGTGACTGCAACTGTTGCAGCGGCTGCTGTTGTTGTTGGTGATGATGTACCATGTTGTTGGCACTGCTGTTGCTGCCGCCACTGCTGCTGCTGCCACTACCGCTGGAGTTGTGCTGCTGCAAATGATTGCTCAGATTGTGGACCTGGTTGCTGCCGTACAGACTATGGCTGCTGCTGCCGCTGCCACCGCTACCAATCGGCAGCTCCAACTGCGAGGAGCTGGACGACGTAGACAGAAACGTGCGCACTGCATCCGAATTGCTGCTGCTGTGCGTGATCCCCGAATCCGGCGATGTGTTGCAACTGATGGAAGCCGGCACTGTGTCCCCATCAATGCTGCGCCGTGTCTTGTCCAATTCGGTGCTGGCAAACGCCACCAATCGATCGAAACCAGAGCTCACGCGATGCTGCCAATGGGACTCATCATCAGCGGCAATGACATCATCTGTGGAATATGAAAAAATTAGTATTAGAAATTGTGTGCACCTTGTATTCTTAGCAGATCTGTGAGATCTAAGATTGTGACGTGATTTTGGGTTCATTTTTGTTTAGGATTCGTCGTGTGTGTGTGTGTTGGTGCGTGGCCCTAAGCATTGTGTTTATCTGAGGTACAGTTGCGTTGCGTTTTGCGTGCAGCGGGGGAAATGTTTTTTGGGTGTGTGTGAGTGGTTGGACATGGGGATTTCTGTGGTGTGTGTGTGTGTGTGTGTGTGAGTGGGTTAATGATTAAACGAAAGAGAGTGTTACGAAAAATGATAATTGAAATAAATTAAAAGAAAATCATAAGTAAAATCATAATCATTAAAAAGGAAAACCAATTAGCGGCAACAGAACTTACCTCATGCTCGTTAAAATTTTTATAAAAATTTTGGTTTTATAAATAACGGATTTGTTTTGTTTTTCTGATTTTTTTGGCATATAAATTCTGTACTTTTCGATTTTTTTTTTAGTAGGTAAATTATTAAACGCAAAAATTAAATATTTGTTTGTCTTTTTTTTTTTTGTAGGTATTTTCTTTTCGAATTTTTCGTGTTACTTGGGTTTATCATTTTCCAACAACAAACATGTTTTTTTATTTTTGGAGGTTGTTCGAATTTCGAAATTCAATCGATTCGATTCAATGGTCATTTGGGGGATATACTGTGGGAGCAACTACTACTACTATCGGCCAGGACATATCCATTCAAATTCTGATTGTAATTCTGATTACTACTCGTATATGATGCCGATAGTTTGGTTGCGCCCGACAGAGTCGTGCGAAGGCGACGTCTGGGATCGTAATTAGTTATAGTGCGTTGCGTTGCCAAATCGTTAACTGTATGGAGTAGAGCATAATATAATAGGGATCATAAGGAGGGCTGGATAAGATGGTTTAAGGTTTTTTTTTGTTCTTCGGTATAACCAATTAACTTTGTATTTTTGTGTTGTTCGTTTAGTATAATTGAAAATTAATTATGCATATTATTTGTAATAACATTCCAGAAGAATTTAAGTTTTTTTTCCTTGTTTTTTGGTGTTAATTTTAAATGTGTGATTGGTTTTTTTTTACAAAAGAATTTTGTGTTTGTGTGTAGAGTGTGGTGTGTGTTGGGGTGTATATGGCTCTCGGATAACATGTTATATATGCAAATATTTAGATGATTGATTTGGCATGACGCTTACGATAAAGAGGGAGGAGGCGCAGGATTATAGTACATACCAAAGATTTTAGAACACATTCTCTATGTGTTCTATAATCAGTTGGATGGTACATTTTAGCATGTTCTGATGTTGTTGGCTTTTGGTTATAGTTGTTTCTTGTCGGTTTTTTTTTATATATGATACAAAAAATGTTGCTTTTTGTTTGGATATTTTGATGTGTGTGGAAATAGAATGACAAACCCGTTTAATAATCGTATAATTTATTCGGAATGCTAACTATTAACTAACAAAAATAAAGTGAGGAAAATTATAAATTTGGAATCATTTTTGATTTTAGTTTCAACTTGTACAGATTTTCTGCTGTCGGCTCTGTTACAAAGCATTAAGAAATCAAAAGAAGGATATATAAAATAATAATTATAGTTAAAATAGCCACTCCCAAAATAAAAATCATACAAATTGCAATCAAAAATAGAGTGTTCTACGAATAAATGGGGGGACAAAGCTACTAAACAATACACGCACCATTGAAAATGTTTCATTTGTTTTTAATTTGTATATTTACACATAAAAAAGTAAGATTTGTATAATTTTGAGTGCATAAAAATGTGTGGTGTTTTGGTGGGAGGTGTTCAAAAATCAAGATGAATCAGATTTGGAATCGGAACTCGAGGAGGAACTCGAAATCTCATCCGAGACCGACTCCTTTTCCGGTTCGACCTTCTTAATGGTTAAATCTTCTGCCACCCGCTGGGCGGAGGAGAATCGTGTGGAATATTGGTGCTGATGGTAGAGGCGATTGTGTAATTTTTTTTGCGCTTTGTTATTGGATACTTGTGCAAGCGGTGGTCGTGGCTGATATTGATGTGCTTGTGGCCCTATCTTTTGGGGTTGGCCCACATATAGCTTACCATCATCGGCGGCATTATTGGCATTGGCATTGCGTTGCATGACCCCCAATGTGGGGGTGGTGCTGTGGCTGTGGCTGTGACTATGACTGTGGCCGTGGCTGGGGTTGTGGCCATGACCGTGGCCATGGGAGTGCCCCAAATGTGCAGCGACTCTCAGGTGCTGCTGCTGATGAATGTGATGCTGCTGCTGCTGCTGGTGGTGGTGCTGCTGCTGCTGCATCAGATGATGTGGATTCGTGGACAGCTGCAGCGGCCGTTCATCGCCCATCAGGGAATTTATCTCCGGACTCATCAACAGCGGTGGCTCCACATGCATTTTCCCATTGTTATTGTTGCTGCGTCGACCACACGACGAGGACGAGGATGAAGGCGTTGGCGAGGGCGTCGTGGCATCGTGTGAAGGTGGCGGTGGCAACACCTGTCCGCCATTGGCATACAAATGTGAATGGGCATGGACATGCGGCGGCTGCTCATAGTGTGGTATCTTTGAGGGACGAGGCGGCTGTTGATGCGGTGCTAAAGGCGACGTTCGCTTGACCCCAACTAAAGAGGAGTTAAAAAAGATCACAGATGAGTATCGGTTTCTAGTGTAGAATTTTGGCAATGATTCGACAGCTTACGCTCCAGTTTGTGCGGTGTACTGCTGCTGCTGTTGTTGCTGCCATTCAAATTCGCAGCTCCATGATGGATCGGATGATGTAGATAGCTATGGGCCGGTGGTGCCTGTCCATAATGCTGCTGCAGATCTGCAACTACTGCAGATGGCGTCGCTGTGGAGGAGGAGGATGACGATGAGGCAGCTGCTGCTGCACGTCGCTGTCGCTCTTCTGTTTCCTCTTTGTATTTCCTGGCACGCACATGATCCTGGAGCGAGGCAGCGAGACCTAAAAGAAGGAACAAGAGCTTAGGGAAAAGCTATCTCTGTAAAGGATTCTCTGGGACACTTACCCTCCAATGGAGGATTGGCGCCATTCAAGCGGGGTCCTCTTAATGCCGCCGCTCCTCCTGCTGTTGCTCCTGCACCTCCCCCGCCCACATTCTTTGTCTTTTGCTCCTCATGGAAGTACGCCTCAATGCAGCCCTTCATCTCCGCTCGTGGCAGCGCCACCGTTTGATACGAGTCCCTGCCAGAACGTGCAGGCGTGGGTGTTGCTGGTGCCGCCGTTCGACCGCCACTTTGCGGTGCGCTCTTCTGAACATAAGCCACATGTGCGAGGGTCGCCAGATTGCTGTTGTTGCTGCCCTGTCCAGCAGCTGCTGCTTGTGCTGCTGCTGCCCCACCGCTGGACACATAATTTGTGGGATGCGCCTCTTGGGATTCCTCCGACAGTGGCCTCACATGCACTCGCTCTGGCCGCTGGGCGTTCAGATTGATGAGCAGCCGTTCATTGGACGTAGCCCGCTCGTTAAAGGCTCTATCCATAAATTGTGTTCCACTGGTGCTCATGTTGACAGCTGCATTGATTATCGTCTGATGGGAGATTTCCAGCGTGCGTTCAATCTCTCCATTCACCAGATCCCCAATGGTCTTGCCCGTGGGTGGCGGCTGTGGCAACGGACCCTGCGGTGGCGGTGTGGGCTGTGGCGTCACATGCTGATTCAGTTTCTCCTGCGACAAATGGCGACGCAGCGCCATCTTGGCTGGCGACACTTGCGTGTAGTCCGGCTGCGAGGAGTTCGAGCTCGGTCGGCTGGGTGGCCGCACACGGTATGCCCCATAGTCCGAGTTGGCCGAACTTGCTCTTGGCAGCAACTCCATGTGCTGCTGCTGTGGCGGCGGTTCCACCAACTGATCGCGACTGCTCGAACGCTGCAGCAGATTGTCGGATGGTGGGGCCTTGAACTCTTGCGGATGCGAATGCGGATGATGTTGATGGTGATGGTGATGAAGATGCAGATGCTGCTGTTGCTGTTGGTGTTGCTGCTGCAATCGATGTTGCTGCTGCTGCTGCTGTTGCTGTTGCTGATGATGCTCCTCAACTCTCTGTCGCTGTGCCACATGTGCGGCAGCGGCCAGCATCAAAGCATGCTGCTGTTGTTGCTGCTGCTGTTGCACTATGAAATGCTCATAGCTGCTGGCACTCATAGAACTGCGTCGTCGCTGGTAGCCCAAATCCGCCGGAGTCGGTGCCGTAGGCTGTCCTGCCGCATACAGCGCTGCCATGTGGGAGGAGACCGGCACCTGTGGCGGTGGCGGCGGCGGCACTGAGGCGGCACCCGAGGATGGTGTATGCTGCCTGGCAGGGCTGTACTTGTTGAACTGCTCCTTTGATGCCTGATATTTGCCCGAGGGCGTGCTCTTGCCACCATATGCACCGTAGGGCAGATTTGGCGGCGGTGGTGGTGCCGTCGAGGCCGTCGCCCCCGCTCCGGGTCCCGGCAGTGGTGGCGTGATGGGGGAAATGGTTGTATTTGCATTCAGATGCATCAATCCCTGGGTGGACACCGTAATAACGTTGTGTAGATTCGAAGGCGGCAGCTGCTGCTGCTGCTGTTGCTGCTGGTGATGCTGCTTGCTTCGCTTCGATACGGGACTCTGCAGCGGCGATGGAGATGGCTGTGACGGCATTTCGGCTGGTATGGCCTTGCTTCTTTGCTCTTGATCCTCATTCAGCGCTGTCGTAATGATGCTCTTCAAACGATCCTCAAAGTTAGCCACCTTCGGGGACTCCTGCTTGCGGCATGCCGCAGAAATGGCAGCGGAAGAGAGTCCGCCCATGCCCAAGCCCAAACCCATTCCCATTCCCATGCCAGGAAGTTCGCATTTGGGTAGCATCGAAGGTGCCCCCTGTAACTGCTGCACTTGCAATTGCTGTTGTTGCTGCTGCTGTTGCTGTTGCTTTGGTGCTGGCATCAAAGTGCTATCCTTGTAATGATGTCCACCTGCTGCTCCTCCTGGTGCGGATTTATTGCTCGCCGAAGCGGCACCAACTGGCATTTGCGGCATGTGCGGCTCCTTGTTTTTGCCATTCAATTGATACGGCGGCACGCTAGTCTTTGCTTGGAACGTTCCTGCCTCTATCTGCCGGCAAGTTTCCACAATTTTCAGAGCCAAAACTTCGGGATTTTCCTCCTGAATCTTCCCCACTTCGGGCACCTCGGGCCACTCCTGCGACCGCACGCGATGCTCGCGACTGCGTCGGGAGCTCTTCGCGCTGTTGGCTTTGGGTGGGGTTGGATTCAATGCAGAATTTGAGGCGGTTGAAGACGCTGAAACAGCGGAACTGCCATTGCTGCTGCTGTTGCTACTGCTGCTGGTGGCCAAACTAATATTGGTGCCTTGGGCCAGCAGTGAGGCCGCTGTGCTCCTGTCCTCGGCGCTCTTCTGCAGCACGGTCGTCTCCTGCTCAATGGTGGACACTTGAGCATACAGTTTCTTCCTTTGGCTTAAGGTATTTGCGATTTCCTTGAGCACCAACTCATGCGCTGTCGTCTCCGAGAACTCCGATGGCAGTTCCAGCTTCACTTTTCCATTGATGGGCCCATTGCCGCACAGTTTCTGATACTCCGGCAGGTTTTTCAGCTGTTTGCTTAGCAACATCTTCTGTTCGCCCTCGTAAAAGGTGACTTCGTTGCGCATTTTGCTGACCGTGTGCTGCAGATCCTTGTGCCTGCCCACAATCTCCTTGGCTTGGGCAATCAAATCATTGGGCGAGTTCACATTGATGCCCAGCTCATTCATTCGCACTTTGAGCAGCGCCACACTGTCATCAATCAGGACTTTGATCTGTTTATCCAGCTGACTCGCTCGGTTCTTCAGCCGCGACATGCGCTCCTGCTCCTGAGCAATGTTCTTTTGGATCTGCGGCAGATAGGCGCTCGATTTCATCACATCCATGAAGGACATGTACTGCGAACGCAGGCACTCGAGCAGGATCTGCAGGCCGTAGGGCGTGTCCTGCGGTGCCGCTGGTATGTCCAGCTCTCGATGGGACATTGTCTCTGTCAGCAGCGATGTCAACTGCTGATCGACGGTGCCCGGCGCGGCTGGCAACTTCTTGGCCGCCGTGTCCTGTGTCGTGCTGAGAACCGTCTGATTGTGGAGTGCATCCAAGCCCACGATCTTGAGGGACTTCCTGCCTCTGCCACCGGCTCCCTTCTTCATGCGTCCCTTGCGTCCGGGCCCTGCGCTGGCGGCCCGCGGCGCATCCTCCTTGGAGGACGACTCCTTGCTGGCCAAAGCCGCAGCAGCTGCTGCCTCCGCTTCCCTCTGGGCCGCCGCAGCGGACTTGCTGGCAATGGCAGCCTTTCGGGTAAGCTTTTTCCGCTTTTTCTGCGTTGCAGCACGCGCCTGACGCACGCCCGTGACACTTGTGTTGCCCCCATTGCTGTTGCTGTTGTTGTTCTCCTCATCATCCGACTGCGAGCTCTTTCCTTTCGAGCTGGAAAAGTCATACCACGGGCGTCGAGTCATGGGTCCACTACTGCCACCGCCGCCACCATTCGAGACGGACGTGGCCGTTGTGGCAGTGGTGGTGTTGCCACCATTTCCATTCGTTGCCTCGCCATCGCTTTCCGTGCTGCTCTCCATGTCGAGACTCCTCTGCTGCTGTTGCTGCTGCTGTTGTTGCTGCTGCAACTGCTGGCGTGTCTTGGAAGCAGCTGCGGTGGCAGCTGCTCCTCCTCCTACTCCGCCGCCGCTAACATTCGCTGGGGACTGCGATTGATGGCGCTGATTGTTGGTCGCTCCGGTCGGTCCGCTCGATTGCTCTCTTTCCCGCTGTTGATTGTTGTTGTTGTTTTGGTTGTTGTTGTGATTATTATTATGATGATGATGATTGTTGTGCTGCTGTCCAATGTTTGCCTCACGCTTGGCTCGATCACGTGTGGTGCGAACGGTACCTGAAGACAGAAAGAGATAAAATGGTTAGTACATCATGATTGAACGGTGAAATTTGGTTGCTAATAAAAGCGAAATGTATGATTCTTAATTGATTGTAAGAGGATTTATCTAGGATTTAGACACATTTCCATGATTGATCTTGTCAAACAGCTAAATTTTAAGTGTTTGAATAAATAGAAAATTAAAACGATTTTGGGATTGAAGCTTTTGATTAAGATTATCATTGATTGATTGAATTGTGCAACGGTTGTGCAATTGTTGTGACTGCTTTATGGTTGAAACCCAAACTGAAACGTTGAACTGGATTGATTAAAATAACAAACTGATCCGTGATTGAGAAATGACTACAATATTAATTTGATTGATTGATTGATTGAAAGCCAGATCTATGCAACATCCACGCGTCTTCTTGAATAACTGAAAAACCTAAACGATTGCCGTAATTAGTACGATTTTTGTGCTACAAAATAATTTGATACAAATTCGTGATTGATAGATTGATACGATTTTGATTGTGATTGATTGATTGAACAAAATAAATAAAAAACCAACTAAACAAAACTCAAAATACTGTGATTGTGATTGTTTTGGTGGTTTATCTCGATTCTGATTCTGAATGTTTGTGTTTCCGCAATCCTTTGTAAATCCTTCTGCACTCGCTCCTTCTGTCAACTTACCAACATGCTCGTGATGATCATTGCCTCCTTTGGTTTTCAGACGCTGAAAGTATCGCTCCAATATGGTGCGATCAATCACATGCAAATAATACGAAACGGGCTTGCAGGTCCATGAAACAGAACCCTTCAGTGGCGGTATTTCGCTCACATGCATTATGGTGCCAATATCCGAAAGGTTTCTACAATAAAAAAACAAATACAGATTAATAAAAAGGTACATTGAGCCCAGGTGAATTACTCACCTATCGGTGATCCGAAAATTCAAAGGACAGAACGATTTGGAGGACACAACCCTGGCACCATCGCGCAGATCCGCAAAGCGCTCCTTCAGCTGGTGATCGACCGTCGGGCCAAAGGCAAAATTATTCACAAAAACCAGCGTCGAAGAGGTGATATTCTCGCGATGTTCATCCACCAGGAAATCCCCCTTGATCAGCTTGTACTCGCAATAGCGTTTGCCAAACCAACCCATATGCTGGCGAAAGAACAAATCCATTCGCTCGGCATAGCGTGCGGGTGTATCAGCCTTTTCGATGCCAATGCATGTCTTCAGTGGGAAGGATCCGGCCATTTGGAGTACGACTTGTCCCACACCGGAACCGAGATCAATGAACGTATCCTCCCTGCCGACGGTGACATGCTTGAGCATCTGTTGTACCAGCTCGTATGATGTCTCGCCATAGACCTCCGGGGAGAAGGGCTCGTACTGATTGAGTTTATCCGGATCGAGAACGGCAGCATTATAAACTAATTGCAAAATGTGTCTTAGAAGGCTAGGGTGAGCGAACTTATTCAATCGCTCGGCGGGCAGTGACGTTCCTTTTTCCTATAGAAAAGAACGGGAAGGAAAACCATATAATAGGGATCTTAAGCATAGATATATCAACGGTATGGATACTTACCAATGCAACAATACTGTCGACAGCCTTGTTAAAGCGATCGACAAGATTTGTCATAGTCTTATAGCAGGCAGTGTCAATTTGATTGAGATTGATCTCCTCGAAGGCCGATTGTATCGATGGCAGATCATCGCAAACGAACTTAATGGTATCAATGATATCGATGCCATTGTCATGCTTATCCTGTCCATGACCAATCTGCAAGGGCCAGGCATAGGCAATCGTTTCCGAGGAGCCAGAGGGCGAACGCAACACCAAGTCCTTGACTTGCGGTGTTGCCATATTCTTCGTTTGCGTCGCCTCCCTTGTTTGCCACAGCCGTTTTGTGGCAAGGGAGGTTTGATGATCGCAGGTGTGGTGGGCGGTAGTGTTGGTAAACACTAGTCAGTGTTGTATTCTTGATGGTTAATGATTTTTGATGATGATCAAAAAATTGGCGTAGGATTTAGATAGGATTCTGGTGTCGAGTGTCGTATGTGGAGACGTTTGCGTTTACTTTTACGTTTACGTTTATGGGTTACGTTTAAGGACTACGGCTACGTTTTATGGTTTATGTTTCTTCTGGTTTTTAGTGGTTGGTTTTTTTGTTTGTCTTAGGAACAGTGGCAGCGTTGGGTTTATTAATGTATATATTGGGCTAATAATAGTTATTATTTATACTCTTCTCTCCTTTATATTTCTCGTCACGTAACGTTACGTTGCGTTACGTTTATTGTTACGTTATGTATGTTCTTTTAAGATGCTGCTTCTCCTGCTGCTGTTTCCTTCCAACTCTTCTTGCTCCTTCTGCTATCCTTCCTCTTCGACTTCCTCTTCCCGTTCTCTTCTTCGTTCCTCCTCCTCCAGCAGCAGTGGCAGCCAGTGTTGGTAATGCCCCAAAATACAAAAGTAACTGATGATAGTTGCGTAATTTAATATTTTGCTGAATGCTAAGAAAACGATGCATTTTCCTCAATGTTCAGCAACATTTTCATCTATAGGTTTTCTTGGGGAAATTCCTCCACCTTATTCGCATTTACAAATCGCTGCTGGCATTCCAACTGTTCCTTGATTTTATTCCACTGCGTTCCAGAGCACGCATGGTTTGACATTTATCGTTGTTAGGCATGTTGCAAAAGCGCCTTCGTCTTTAGTTTTGGTAAACTTTTGTTTTTTGTGTATGTACAAAATGTATTATTTTCGAGTCTGTACAAAGAGAAAAATGGAAGAAAAGACAGAGAATAATGATAAATAATAAGTAAAGAAGGTTCGGTGATATGTGATAATCAAAAATTAATAAATAAAACTATAAAATGGACATTTTATGGATGGTATGAGATATGTTACAAAAATACTAAAGAAAATGTATCCTTCATTTCTAGAAATGGATTTACTCAGATGATGCGAATTTATGATGTGTAGAGTAAAGTATCATAAGTAAAAATTTATCAATATGGTAACTGTTTAATGATAAATCATTTTGGGATAGCTTATATATTTTTGAAGGAATATTGTAAATAAAAGAACTAGCATAAATTATGGTTTATTTCTCCAACAAAGACAATTTGTTTTCTCTTATTCGTTATTTACCACATAATCTCAATTATGTATAATTCCCAACAAGACTAGATCCATGGCTAGAAGAACTCCTTCGCTGCATACATTATTAAATTACACTCTGAGTATCCCACAGCGCAGATAGTTATTCAACACTGGCTTTCATTTCATTTTCAGTTCGGTCTTAAAGCTTCTCTACAACATTTTTACTGAGAAAATTATCTTGAAAGTATTCCCACACTCTCGAGATTTTGCTACCCGAGACATATTCCTACTACATTGATATGCAACACCTCTTCTTGACATCTATATTTTTGCCACAGGAGGGTGACTTTCATGATGTTTTTTAATATTTTTAGCTGTTTAATATGCTAATTAGAAATTCGAGGCACGTTTCAGCGCATTGCCTTTGCCATCTTCTTTTAAATATTTATTTATTTTTTTCGTACTGTATTTTAATGTGATTCCATTATTTTGCAGGCTACATTTTTTTTGGTGGGCGTGTAGACGACGGCGACGACACCGACGACACACAATGTGACTTCATTAGCATAAAACAACGTTGACGACAGCTTTCATTCAATTGAAACCCTCTATGAGGCGGTTAGGGAATAGAGGGTGACGGCAAGTCACAGAAAAATCAATATCCACCCCCTGCTGGTTGCGTTAACATTAAAGAAATTTCAATGAGAAATGAGACGCAGGCCATTTTCGAATTAAAGCTTATTGAAAAATAGCACTTAAAATGGAAAGAGCTTTAAAGCTTCAATAAATATTGATAGTGAGGGTATAAATGTTTATTAGGTGCGAGTGAGAGCTAAGTCTAGCATTAAAATGTTTGGCTAGACACAAGCGCCGCATTAAATTGAATGGGTTTTCAACACACAAACCCCCAATTCACTCCGATCTCTCTTCCTTCCTCTCTCTCTCTCGCTTTCTCTTCCTTTCATCTGACTGTTTGGCAACACTACAACAAAACTGCAGTGGCAGTAGCCTAACTTGCACATAATATGCTTTAAAACACATGCTCTTCCACACTCTCCTCTCCAACTCCATCGCCCTCTTCTCTTGCTCTCGCTCCCCTCTCTCACATGTACAGTGGATATGACGCATATTGGTGTATGTACCGTTATGTGCCCTATCATTCTTGTTTATGCATGCACGTGCACGCATCAAATCTCCCCCGAACTTCGTCTGTCCTGTGTCGTGTGTCTGCCTGCCTCCATTCTCCCTCTCTCTCTTACTCTTTGGCGCAACCGACTCTCGACATTTGGATATCTGTATCCTGTATATGTGTGTGTATGCTGTCCTATGTACAGCGCTATGACAGCAGACAAAAGCTATGTATGCCCCACCAGGAGGTTGTCATAGCTGCTGCTGCCACACCCCCATATACATATTTTTGTACATAAATACATACATACATACATATGCATACATACGAAGAATATGTAAACACATTTCGCCGGTCAACGGGACCACAAGCACAACATCAGCCACATCCACACAACATTTATTGTTAATCAATATTCCGGGTAATGAATGAATTTTATTTTAAGCATTTAAGAACGACGCATGTTCTTGTTCATTTCGCAATTTAAGGGTTATGTTCGTCCATGCGACGTGTGGCACTGAAAGGGGAGGCACAATGTGTCTGTCGGCGGCATAGAATATGTGGAAGGATTTTACAGTAGAGAGAAAGTTATTAAAGCCAAAGGTTTTCCCAGAGGAGAGACAAAGTTTTATTGAATGTGGGATGGTTCTTCAAGAGGTTGAAGCATTTATTATGCTTCTGAGATTGAAATTAATAAAAAGAAAAGTTTCTCCATGAAGTATACAGCAGTTAACAACGGCGCCCCTCGATCTTTTGATATTTTCACTTAAGCCTTGTATTCTTGTGCTTTTATGCTCCTGTGGAGACCCATTACTTAAAAGCCTAAATGTTACCCTCCATTCGAACGTTCCTATTAAATGGCCACTACACCTCCCTTTTCAAAGATGCGAATATTGTCTCTCCTACTTCTATAAAATATCCTGTGAGCCATTTACAATGTGTTGTGGCTAATTGGCGGCAGCCAGACATCGCCTCTGGGCATACCGTACACATTTGACAACACCGCATTCCATAAAGGGCCAGACGCCAGGGCCATGGCCAAACCCATTTATCAGACATTGAACCCCACAGCAATGGCAACAACATTAGTCGACGAATATTTGGCAATAATTTGTGGTCATAACCGTAAATTGTCGAGTGCTTGTAACGAGCCGAAAATCAAAAAGTCAAAGTCATGTTCCATTACGGCACAGAACCCCCAGACAACAGACGACAAAGGTCCTGCGTCGTCCTGGCACTCATTTTGTTCCCAAAAATATGTATATCCTTTTGGCACCAGGCTGCTGTCTAGCCAGAGGGGGGATCCCATACCCATTTCCTGCCGTTTGTGTGTGTGTGTCTATCTCTCGAATATTTCTAACGAAAAATCCATTGAAAATCATCAGACAGCGGCTGAGGCAGCTCCATACACAAAACATGTCTACGACAAAAAACGACTTTTGTTGTGTCTGTACTTGGTAGAAATTACGCATACGCAAGAAAAATAAATGGGATACAGGAGATGGATAAAGATGAGAGATGGGATGGATGGGAGTTGGCAGAGATAGAGATAGGCCATGCCCAGCTAATATTAGCAATAAATCAGTGTTTTAAGGATGTTGAAATCAATTATAATTTTAATTTTTGTATGAGATGTGGCTGCCCCTGTCTATCATTTCTGTGACCACTCAACGTTTACGCGGGACTGGCAACAGTCAGTGGAAAATGCAACAATCATTGCAAATTGTGGCAGTAAAATGTTTGCACCAATTAATAATCAAATGAGGTCAAATTCGTCATGCAATATGTAGGTATTGCTAGTGTTGAGTTTCATTAAATCAATCAAAGTATCGACTTTCAATATCCTTCTCCGATATCTCTTCTACATCCAACACCATAAATGGGATTCTTCTATCATTTTAAGACAAACGCTTTGCTCCACTTTTATCTATTATCTATCTTATATCTATCATTTCGATATTGTTTTCTCGACATGTTTGCCCCTTGGAGGCTTGACACACATTTCACCCTCTCTCATTGTCTCTACCTCAACCCCTTTTGCACACACTTGCACCAGAGTTGCCATCAAGTGACACAATTATGGTGGAGCAGTGGTGTGAGGGAGCAGTGGCAGAGGAAGACGCGAGTGAGGGATGCATTGCCATCGGCAGAATGCGATTTTAATCAACTTAAAAAGGCCTACACACATGCCGTGACTGCTCTGCTCTCCTCTTCTGTCATTCCGCAGCCTTCTTCATTTCCTTTTGCTTTGCTCTCCTCGTTCTCGTCTCCTCCTTCTCCTCCCCACTGCTTATATCATCTACACGCGACTCTAGGCACTGAGTAGGCAACGCCCACGCAAAACCTCTATTTATTTGTACTATTTTTTTGGAATACCCTTTGCAGAAAAGGGTATGATAATTTTGACTAAATGTCCATGCAGAATATGAGTCCGAATCCTCCATATTGAATCTATATAGATTTATGATCGGGGTCCACAAATTAATTTCTGTATATTTATTATCCAAACCTTTATCCAAATCGTTTGACTAGTATATCTTGAAGCCACCTCAGACACATTAGATCTGCTAGGGTACCAGCAGCTTCGACACATGAAGCTTATTTTCTATATTGTTTTTTTGTATTTGTTTTTATTTTTGGTTTTCCTTTTTATTTTTATGACTGTTGCCTGTGCCACGCTGTCTGCCTTGGTTTTGCTGCTGCTGCTCGCTCTCTCTCTCTCTCTATTTTGATATCCACAAAACTGAAATAATAAAAATAAATTGCCCATAAAAATGCGAGCATAACCGTTCTAAATGTACACATACTCAAATGATGGGGCAGTGAGAGAGAGGTAGAATGAGAGAGAACTAGTTTTATTATTATTTTGTATATGTTTTTATTTGCGGCTCTCTCATCAACACTCCATTCGCTCTCTCTATCTCTATTTTCACTGATGTGCTTTTTGCATAGTGTGTCAAGGTCAGCAAATTGTGACGGCAATTAAGAAATTAGTGAATTATGCGGTTTAACAGGGAACCCGTCCACTGCTCTCTCTCTCTCTCTCTCTCTGCAATACTCTCTCTGTTAGCTAACGGCTGCCCTCTATCCCTGCGTCTACCACTGTGTTTGCTTTGGTTCGCTCCCTCCCTCCGCCTATTATCTAGTTTTTCTGTTAAAAATGTTTAATGTTTTACGAATTTTCTCTCTCGTTTCCTCATCCTAACTTTTAAAATTATTTCTATATTTAACTTCAAATTCATTTACTTAGCATTTTATTTGTTTTCCATTTGTCTTTTTTCTTTTGCTTTTGCATTTGCATTTAGTACAATATTTTCCCTGCTTTCAGGGTCACGTGTGAACGTGTCATTGTTTTTGTTAGCTTTTTTTTGTTGCTTTTGTTTGCTATTGTTGTTGCCTGACCGAAGGTTATTTTAGTTTACGCTTTGATTTCTCGTTAATTATTATCGTTGTGAGTGCTAGATTGCTCAATGAATTTTCGAAACGCTACAGTGATCGTTCGAAGTGATTTCAGTACTTTAGCGTTTGCGATAAA